CAAAGAAGCCAGCCTGAATTTTGATAGAGATTGTACAAATGTAGATCAATTTGGGTGGTATTACCATCTATTTTTTTTCCTTATGCTGAGAGTTGAACTCAAGCACCTACATTCTATACTCAACTACACCACCACTCCCAGCCTCAAGGATTACCGCCTTTGATGTTGTCTTATACCTTACAACATTTGTACTTGTAATAGTTTCATAGGAGTTCTTAGGATTTTCTATATAGAAAATTATTTCATATGCAAATAAAAAATTCTATGGCTGGTAGAATTACTATTCAATAATGAATGAAGAACAAAAACTGGGAGAATTTGTTGCTAGCAAACTAACCAGTGAACTGAGGCAAGAAAAGGAAATAAAAAATGTGCAGATTGAAAAGGAAAGCTCTAAATTATCTCTACTTGCACAAGACATGATCACATATATAAAAAGTCTGAGAACCTCTGTTGGTTAGAGGGAAACCCAACTCCTATTCAGTCCCATTCAGTTGGCCAGTATCTACTGGAGGGATCTCGATAAGAGGGTTGTATCATCTACTAGCAGATAAGGTAGGTCAGAGGATTTCTTTGTGGCAGACTCCAAGGTAAAAATAGATTAGAGCTCCTTTTCTAGTTTTTAAGGCCTATCAGGAAAAGAGGCATGAGACAGTAACTGTTGGTGAAAACCCATAATAGATGTAGATACAACATTACAGAATTCAATAATGCTATTAAAAGGAATGAACAAGTTTAATAAAGTTGCAAGATGTAAGATCAATTTACAAAAGTCAAATGTATTTCTACACAACAGCAACGACCAATCTGAAAATAAAATTCAAATATAAATTTTAGGACAAGCTCATCAATTTCTGAAAATAAATTCAGACCAATCTTTCACTTTCAGCATTTTTAATATTTTATCCCATCACCTCTGGCCTACATGGATCCTAATGAGAAATCCACTGTTCATCTTACTGAGAACCTTGTATTTGATCAGTCACTCTCTCTTGCTCCCATCAAGATTCTCTTTGTTTATGGACAGACGGATCACGATGTGTCTAGGTTTGGATATTTTGTGTTTGTTCTACTTGGAGTTTATCAAGCTTCTTGGATATATAGATTGATGATTTTCATTAAAATTTTAAGTTTTTGGTTATAATTTCTTTCAATATTCTCTCCTGTATTCTTTTAGGACTCCTATTATGGATGTGTTGGTCTCTGAATCCTCTGTTCCATTTTTCTTCATTTTTTTGTCCTTTCTGTTCCTGAGATTGGAAAATCTCAATTGACCTATCTTCAAACTCACTTATTCTTTCTTATACCAAGTCAAATTTGCTGTTAATTTTGGTTACTTTACTTTTCAATCCCATAATTTCTATTTGGTTCTTTTAAAATAAGTTACTTTTTCATTAATCAATTTAATGAGACATAATTTTCTTTTATTCCTTTAATTCCTTAAACATATTTCACTATTATTCTTTAAATATATTTATAGTAGCTAATTTAATTTTTACCTGCTAAAATAACATTTGGTGATGTATCAAGAACTATGTAATGTTATGAACGACCAATAAAAAAAAAAAATAACATTTGGGCTTTCTCAAGGACTATTTCCATTTTATTTCCTGTATATGGGCAATAGTTCCTTATTCCTTTTTGTGTCTTGTAATTTTTTGTTGTTGTTGAAAACTGAGCATTTGTTATATATAACAAATGTCTATAGTGTATATATAGTACTATAGCAGTACCATATTATGACAGCCTTAGAAATCAGATTCCTATTCTCCCCAAGGTTTATTGTTGTTGTTAGATGTTATTGTTGTTCTTCTGCCTGTTTATTTAGTGTCTGTTCCGGTTTAATTTTGTAAAGTCTATATCTGAATATGTCAGTGATTTTCAAAGCCCCTCATAGCCATCTTATTCCATGGATTTTTTTCTTTTAAGTTTTTGATCACCTTATTTACCTCTATGTTTGCCATGTGCAGCTTCTGAAATCTATGTGCAATTACTTTAGTGGTGAGTTAATGATTGAACAGGGATTTCTTTAAATGCCTTGAGCCATCAGTCTGTATCTCTGCCTTACCCCTTACTTCCAGCATGTGCAGAGTCTCAGGGATTTTCTCAAGTGTGTTCTGGACATGTCCATAGTCCTGAACGTATGTGTGTATGTGTGTGTGTGTGTGTGTGTGTGTGTGTGTGTGTGTCTCCTCTAAAGTCCTAAGCAACATGTCAGAGCTTTTCAAAGCACCTTACAGACATCTTATTTCACAGATTTTTCTTTTAAATGTTTGGTCACCTTCTTGTTGACCTTGATGGTATTGTAGCCTTAGGCAGCTTCGATGTTAGATATTTTCCATGGATTGTTCTCAACAAATAGCCTGGTGATAGAGTTGCTCATCCTGAGTAGCTCTGAGTCAGATTACAGACAAGTTTCATACTGTAAATGAAGCTTTTTCATGGAGCTGTGAGAAAGTTCAGAGATGAGCTTCTCCTAAAACTTATATTTGAATTTTATTTTCAGATTGGTCATTGCTGTTGTGTAGAAATACACTTGACTTCTGTAAATTGGTCTTGTATCTTGCAGCTTTATTAAACTTGTTTATTCCTTTGAATAGCATTATAGAATTCTGTAATGTTGTATCTACACCTATTACAGGTTTTCATCAACAGTTCCTGTCTCATGCCTCTTTTCCTGCTACAGTCACAGAGCTTAAAAGAGTTCTTTGGGGATAGGGTTTTGAGGAATTCCAAACCTGTTCTGCTCCCTGAAGTGATATTTAGGCTGTTGGTTTTCACAGCCCCTGTGGCTTTGAGGCTGTAGTTTTTCAAAGCTACCATGGAGCTGCGGAAAGAGGGCTGAGGATTTTCAAGCTAAAACTGTGGAGCCTGCTGTTCTACTGAGTTTCAGCTGTTTTTCTTAAATAAACATTCCTTGGATTATTGTGTACCTTTGGATAATTTCCAGGGTTCTGTTCTGAGAAAGTCGATTTTGACCATTTTTTCCACTGCTATCATTATTCTTGTGAAGGAACAGATTGTCAAAGGTTCTTACACCACCATTTCTATTTCTTTATTTTTTTCTCTAAGACGGATGAGACTAGAAGAAGATATAAACACCTGGGGCCCAATAAAGAATGGACACTCAATCCAAAGATTGAGTTGGGATGCAGGGCCTCTAGATAAAGGAACTAGAAATAAACTTTGCCTGTTGTCATTTCTTTATTTAATTTCATATTGTAGCAATGTAATAAATGCGCATGGGAGTATCTAAAGGTAGAACCTCCATCCTTTTAATTTCATACAGTGTCTGTGAAACTGTGCCATGTAATTTTCCATCCCACAGCAGATGAGGTTAGGGAGAGCACATATTAGAGGCAGGTAGGCAGGAACAGTTGATAGTGAGAAAGAAGATGTAAGTATAAAAAAAGTAGACATAACAATCAGCAAGTACCAGTGGAGCATGCTGTAGTACTCACTTTCCAAAGGTCATATCTGTGTCAGAATGAAAGTGTTCATTTTTACTCCGTATTCATTACTTTTCAAGATAGTAATGCCTAATATATTTTAGAAATTTTTATATCCAGAATCAATAAAACATTTTAGGTCTGATACTAAAAGTTATAGACTTCATTTATATAGAGCATTTATGGCCAAGAAATACCATATATCCAAATGAGATTTGATAATGGGACATTTCTGTTTCGTTGGTGATAGATTCTGTTGAAGAGAAAGATTCTATAATCATCCACCTAAATGCATTACGGTAATTCCAACACCTTACAAGCTTAGAATTTCAACAGTCTACTATCTTCCTGTGAAGACAAATGAAAAAAAAATGATTAAGTTTCTCAAAAGTAGAAAGGTGAACCACATAATAGTAATATCTCTTTTCTCCCTCCCTGTACTGAATCCTCTCAATTTGTAAGCATCAATATCACCTGCTTATAGAACAAAAGATGTATTAATTTGTTAACCATATTGTTAGGTGGTTAGTTGCATAAGATGCTATGAACCTATCTAACCACTTCATAAAAAGTCTTAGGCAACACCTGTGTGTTTTGAAGGGGAATTGTGATGACTGGTCGCTCGGCATGCAGCCGAGGTATAAAGAGGCCTAGAAAGAACTGTGAACAGGATCTCAGCAGCAGAGCAGGAGTGCCAACGTGAACTATGAGGAGTGATCGCAGAGGAGTCATCTATTGAAAACAACCACTCACAATGTGGGTGACATTAGCCGACAGCATCATGGCTAGATTGATGAAAACATCTTGAGATCAAGGAGCCACATGTAACAAAAAATAAATAAATAAAAGGGAGTAAAGCTGCAAGAGTTTACTGTTCCATGTGGCCTAGAAAAAGACCCACTTTTGAAAGCCTGAAGCATGTCACGCACACTGTTCGAAGTGTCTTGTTATAGGTAGTGGTCTGCAGAGGCTGAGATGATCCAGGGCTCTTGAGACCTCCATCAATCAAGGGCTTTTTTTGCAGGGCTGAAGAACACGCATAGACCAGCATCTTCTTAAAAAAAGAGTCATTCCAAGATAGGAGAGGAGGGACATTCCTGGAGGATTTTCAGTTGGTGATGAGAGTTAAGTAGGGAATCACATTACAAGGTACATACTAGTAACCTGTGTGTATTCTAGTATCCTAGGAAGTGACCAGGTGAGGTAGCAGGCATCGGGTGGACAGTGGGCCAAATTACAAGTGTTATTTCCTCAGGATATTTTTTTCAACATATTCTTTGATTCAAGTCTAGCATACTAAAATACAAAGACAATATTTTAAGATAACTGGACTCTATGGGGTCACATGTTCTTTCTTAGAGAAAAGGATCAATGTGCTGATATTGATGGATTAAAATGTAAAACATAGTCACATAATTAAATATTTCTGTAGGTATTTCTATAAATATCTTTTCCATAGAATCTAATAAGGTTGCTATTAGAATTCAAGTCATCTAATACAAATGCAGGTAGTCATTTTGGTATTAAAAGTGTGCTGTTTCTTCATTGCAGTGTGCTGGCAGGTTACAACGGTACCATCTTTGCATATGGACAAACGGGCAGTGGCAAGACATTCACTATCACAGGTGGGGCTGAGCGTTACAGTGACAGAGGCATTATCCCAAGGACGCTGTCATACATCTTTGAGCAGTTACAAAAGGTATAAAACTAAGTTCCTTTTGTATTTGATAGATTCAGCAGAAATTTACTGTGCACAGAAAAATTATTGTGATATTATATTATATCAAAATGAGAAAATATTTTTGTATAATAGCTCCAACCTTTACATTTGAAGCAAGGTTAAGATTTTGCTGGATAAGTAGAAATTAAGAATGTCCTTCTCATTAAAATACTGACACCTGAGCAAAAGATCAAAGGGAGTTCTTTCTGTTACAGTCACAGAGCTTAAAAGAGCAAATAATACATCTTACCAATTAAAATCTTATATTCCACGTTAAGAAACTGAGGCATAGTGGTGCACGTCTGTATTCCCAGCGCTTGGGAAGCTGAGGCAGGAGGATCACAAGTTCCAAGTCAGCCTCATCAATTTAGTGAGGCCCCAAGCAAGACTCTGTCTCAAAATAAAATATAAAAAGGACTGGGGATGTGGCTCAAGTGTTTAAGTGCTCCTGGGTTCAATCCCTGGTACCAGAAAAAAAAATGGAAGAAACTGAGAAATAGTCTTTTAACCAAGCAGACCTTTCTTCTAGCTACTAAAGCACTAAAAGGATAGTATAGTTCTTACTTTTTCCCAGAAAGAAGCCAAAGTAGTACACCAGAGTACAAATTCCATTGCAGTGAACATTATAGTTTTATAAAGAGTGTTCCCTGTCTCCCTCCTTTCCCCCGCCTCCCTCCCTCCTTCCTTCCTTCTCCAGAGATTGAACTCAGGGGCACTCAACCTCTGAGTCACATTTTATATTTTATTTAGAGACAGGGTCTCACTGAATTCTTAGCTCCTCGCCATTGCTGAAGCTGGCTTTGAACTCGTGATCCTCTTGCCTCAGCTGCCTGAGCTACTGGGATTACAGGTGTGCACCACTGTGCCCAGCATCCCTGTCTTTATTATGTCATTTATTGAGTTCCTCCAAGTGCCTTATACTTTATCATTATTTAATACAACATATAGTACAACTAACAACGTAAGTATCTTTATCCCCTTTTTATGGGAAAACTGAGCCTCCGTTTAAATATTTTTCTCTGGGTCCATCTTAGGAAGATCTGAGCTGGAGCTCATCTCCGGTCTATCTTACCATATTCTGTGCTTTTTGCCACTACATACACTCCTCTGTGGCTCAGACTGGCTTTATTTTATTGGTCATATTTAAGCAAATTCCCTACAATGAGTTATTTAGGTTCTGTGGGTTTAATTTTCTCCACTCTGAAGTAGGGATTGAATTGTACTAGAGAGTCCTCAGCATCCCTTCTAGTTCCCCAGTTCTTTGGTTGTATTAATTCTGTTTAGTAAATGTCCTAAGTAGGTCAATGTAACAGTCACTCCAAAATTTCTCTACTGTATGTTATTTGCATTTTGAATTGCAAAGATGTGAAGAAATTGCTGAGATCTGCATAATTCTAATTGCCAGCCATAAAGTAGCAATTATCCATTAGTTCAGCTCATCTCTTACTAGCTCAAGCATGCCAACTCTGCACGCCAGAAAACGTGGAAGAGAGAGAGTTCAGCATAGCGTGTATGCCGTATTTGAGATCCTTCTTTTCATTTACTCATTTATTTTTGACATTGACAATTTTGTTTTGTTCCCAGATTTCACAAACTGGGAATGTAGTTTCTAATAGTTTTTGTTGCTGTGGCCTAATCGGGAAGCCTGTTGTCTTGGAAAGATCACTGGTGTTGGAGCAGGCTGGAGAAAGTGCACTTATGACAGCATGTAGCTTAAGGTCCCCATTATATGGAGTGGCTGTGAGGGCTAGACAGATGGTATTTAAGATATTGTCCAGTTCCTAGCACACAGTATATACTCAGTACATGATAATTATTATATATTAGCACAGCCATTAATATTCATGTTAGTGCATGTGGCTGAACGATCCCTGACCAATTTCAGAGAACCCTTTGAAACTCAAAACAAATGAAGCCAATTTCCCTGATTAAATTAAACAGAATAAACAAACCCTCTACTAATGGAAAATAGTTTTCAACTTCTTTAAAATTTCATCTTTGGTTACTGAAATACAGTTCTAAAATCTAAATATCTCCCAAGTACTCAACATCTGTTAGGTTTAATGTTTTAGATCTGTTTGTCATTGGCATGGCTCTAAACCTCATTTTATTCTGAATGATCCTAAATAACTTCCTGGACTTGGAGAAAGCCTATCAGACCAGTTTATAGCCAGGGCAACTCTTTGGAAATGGCCAGATTTTCACGATGGGGAACAGCAGATCCATTTATAATCACACTGGGCTGTGGTGAAATTAGTCAGGCAACTTAAAGTGTATCATGAAGTTTGTCTGCTTTATATGGCTGAGGAATGTGGACTGGTACTCAGAGGTCTTCAGCTAATTGCCTTTAGAGGAACTAAAGGCCAATGGAACTGTCTAGAATTTTTTTTAATTGTAGATGGACACAATACTTTATTTATTTTTATGTGGTGCTTAGGATTGAACCCAGTGTCTCACATGTCTTAGGCAAGTGCTCTATCACTGAGCTGTAGCCCCAGGCCTCTGTAGAATTCTTAAAGGAACATTTGACTTATGCAAAGTCTTTATTTCAAGATAAACTAGGAGTCCAGAGTATACTGGGTCCTGAAGTACCTGTGAGAGTGATAAGAACACTTTCTCACTGATTTTTTTTTTTTCTTTTTGGTGTGGTGCTGGAGACTGAATCCAGGGCCTTGTGCATACGAGACAAGCACTCTACCAACTGAGCTATATCCCCAGTCCCATTTTCACTGATTAGAGAAGAAAATTGATTCCATTTATTTTAGAAATCACTGCTCATTATTTTTGAGCATTGTGAGTTTCAAACTTGTTTGGGGGCTGGAGACGAGGCTGTCTGTGGGACACATGTGTGTTATATTACAGTCTGGCAACCTAGACACTAAAAAGAAGTAATAAGGAAAGGTAGCTTGCCACAAAGCTCAATGAATTTTAAGTGTGTATTCCAATAAAAGTTCAGAAAATGCAGAAGCTGGAGGAGCCAAAGCCATTATCCCTATCATCTCAGAGCAGTAGACCTGCCATTTTCCTGACTTTTATGATTTATTCAACTCTCTGGAAGAAGATAATTTCTTCACTGAAAATGAACATATAAATTGTTCTCTTTGCATTTCTTTTCCATTCCTTTTATATTCACATACTGAATTCTTCATTTGGAGGCTTATGGACATAATAATTTAAAGTAGTATCCATGATAAGCTGGATCTAGTAGTATACGCCTGTAATCCCAGATACCCAAGAGGCTGAGGCAGGAGGATTGCAGGTTCAAGGCCAGCCTCAGCATCTTAGACTCTGTCTCAAAAATAAAATTGAAAAGGCCTGGAGGTGTAGCTCAGTGGTAGAGAACCCCTGGACTCAATCCCCAGTATCAAAAATAAAATAAAACAAAATCAGTGACAATGATATATCTGCAGTAACAATGGTCCTTTGGTTCCTGTGATGGTTAAGGATTTTTTGGTAGGATTTTAAGTATATAGCCTTATTTCTCCATCACAACAGTTCTGCAAGATCAGAGCTGTTATTCACTGATTAATTATCATGGTGAAATAATCAAGGATCACTCAGTTATAACTAGTAGATACAGTATTCAAACCCAGTTCTGTCTGATGCTAAGAGCTCAGAACTGTAAGATCTCAAACCATAATCTCTGGTACATTTCAGCTATATTCAGAAAAGTTTTAGAACAGGATCTCACAACATGGCTGAAGGATCTCTAGGGCCTTTATCATGCTCTGATAATCCTCCAGGGAGGAGCAGAGTGTTTATGATGACCATGGGACACTTTTTTCCAGGAGTATTTCATGGATTATTTTGGGAAACACTGAATTAGACTAACAGCCTTATAATCTGTCTCAGGTTGATAGTCTCTGAGACCTGTACTAAACCACGCTACGATGCAAACAATTATGTTGAAATAGTGCCTTGGACACTTTTTTCCAGGAGTATTTCATGGATTATTTTGGGAAACACTGAATTAGACTAATAGCCTTATAATCTGTCTCAGGTTGATAGTCTCTGAGACCTGTACTAAACCACCACGCTACGATGCAAACAATTATGTTGAAATAGTGCCTTCTCTAACACCGGGTACTAATGTAATCAATAGGCCATTTGTTAGAATAAGCACTGAAGTCACATCAGCTGGATTCCAGAACTTAGTTGAGAGAAATTTGTTTAGTAGGAATTCAATCCAAGTTGCCACCTTCACAGAACATCAGAACATGGAATTTTAGCTGTGGCTTGAATATAATATTCATGTGTTGGTTGAAAGTTACATTAATTTTTTATGAATCATTTTGTTTATATCAGATGGTATATCTTTATTGGTATAGTGTGAGCCATTTTAGGACCAATGAGTCATACTAATTTTAAACTAAAGAATATGTAGGGATTCATCATCCACTTCCTCACTTTCATGTGTGTGAAAACCAAGGTCCGATAATGGTAGAAGTTCATAGCTGGTAGGACTGGGATTTCAGCTTTGGATTTACAGGCCACCTTTCCCTCCCTAGTCTCTGTGACTTTTTCTGTCTCCCTTTGAGCAACAGCTAGTAAATGGATTGTTCTTGTATGTGGTTGAGAATCAGGAAGGTCATCTGAGGCAAATCCTCTTACTGTCCACTATGACAGTTTTCTTGCCACAAGAATCAAATATATTCTCCCTTTATTAAAAACATAATAATATTTGCAGAAATAGAAGCATTTGTGATTTTGAAGGAACAAAGAGGAGGTACTCTCATTTTGATATTTCGATTGGAAAAATGTACTTGGAATTCCCTCAAGAGCTAAAAAATATTCCTGCCATATTCCACCTCAGAAGGAATGGGTCCTTTTTTTCTGTTAGCAGAGCTGAGACTAGGATCCGTTATCTTGACTTTTAGCTTAATTGCGTTGATAACTACATCATTACATTTTAGTAATGGCCACAGAAGCCACCTTTCTCTAACCCATAAACGAATATCCCTGATTTGCCCACTTGAGCCAGGAGAATTAACCCAACAAGCAAGGTATGAATTGTTAGTGTCCTCTCTTACCTGACTGATCTAAGCTATCTTCTGTCCTGGGGACTTAATTTCACTTTTATCTATTTATATCACCAGAAAAGTTTTCAAATATTACAAAAGTGTAAAAAAAGAATTATTATTAAAGATGGAAACTGTTTTGCTACTGAAGTTTTTGAACCAAAGAAATGATCTGTGCTTTTTTATGAATAGACTATTCATAGAACATAAGTGTGTATTTTCTTAGTAACTTTTTTTTTTTTTTTTGGTTTGGAAAGTAAAAAATGGTGTGTTATACAGTTCTGCAACCAAATTGGCTCATTGTATGTGTACATCGACTTTTTATGTATAACGTGGAACCAATAAAAAATAACAGACTGAAGTTACTTGTAATCATGGGAGTTGACCATTAAAAAAAAAGAAAAGAAAAGAAAGAAAAAAGTTTCATGCATATGGTAACTGGCAACTTGAAAGTGTCACGAACTGAAAATGTAAACCACATAGAGTGAGTGCGAATGGGGGAAAAACTGTGAAGAAACTACATTGACAAATGTGTTCGTCTTCCTCTAAAATGAATTGTTATTTGTAGTCATTAAATCATGTCTTACTCTTTTTCAATCAGGACAGCAGCAAAATATATACAACACACATTTCCTACTTGGAAATCTACAATGAATGTGGTTATGATCTATTGGATCCAAGACATGAAGCCTCCAGATTGGAAGATTTGCCGTGAGTAGCAGAACAACAAAGGATAGGGGGAAATTATTTTCAGATGTTCCCTTCAATTGTTTTCTTTGAAACTTTATATGTTTCTGGTCTCAATCATAATTAGCAAATACTGGATAACAGAATCTTTTTGCAATATAATGGATATTTTTTTCAGTTATGACAAATGGACAGTAGTGATGGGAACTAAAATAGCTTGAAACTTATTTCTTGGGAAAATCTCTATTGGAGCTGGTGTGAGACAGGGCAGTGATGGGTGTCTGAGAGTGGGTACTTAGAAGATTGATGGGATGTGACAGTGCTACTTTACTCCTGCCACATGAAACCCTTTTATTCCTCTAATCGTGGCCTGCTTCTGAAGAAGGATTCAAATTGGAGTTCAAGCAGCAACAAGCGAATCTGAAAGACAGAAAATAACATTTTAAGTTTCTGTCCAAATGGCTTCTCTACTTTCATTAATGTTAACATTGATAATCATTTGATCTGATTGGCAGTTGCAGACTGAAATAGAGAGTTCTCAGAGCCTATCTATTAATACTGCAAGTTACAAGCTTTTACATAATATTGCTCAATGCTTCTTTGGTATCTGCCTAAATTAGACATATTAGTCAGTAACATTAATGTGTCACAAACTTTTGTCCAGATATCATCATGTATCAGAAGTTGTCTACAACCAAGGAAATCTATTTTAATATTCATATTAAATATTCTAACACAATTTGGAATACATATTAATTCTCTATAAAAAGATTACCAACCATATGATTATTTTAATTTGCAAAAAATCTAGGAATAAATATTAAAATAATTACAATATAAATTATTTTACTGTTGTATAGAATTGAAAGAGTATAAGGATTCTATTCTTCCATTAATGTTGGTCAAGAGTTTTTGCATATCATCTCTTTCACATTTGCAGTATTCATAAAAGGGAATTAGGAAAGGAAATTATTGTTTGTATTTTAAATATTTGTATAAGAATTTGAAGAAAGAAGAGATTAGTGACTCATGGCCTTTAAAGAACTATTAGAATAACCAGGAGTGGTGGTACCTGCCTGTAATCTCAGGGACTCAGGAGGCTGAGGCATGAGGATTGCAAGTTCAAGGCCAGCCTCAGTAACTTAGGGAGACCTTATCTCAAAAAAATAAAAAGGGCTGGGATGTAGCTCAGTGGTATAGAACCCTTGGGTTCAATCCTCAGTACCAAAAAACAAAAAGTGACAATAACAAAAACCTAGTAGAATAAAGTTTAAAGTTTACACAAAAGGGTAAAACGTCTTACGCAAGAAGGATAGGAAGGATAACATTTGACGTGAAGGTGTGGTAGGAAAGGCTATGAGTTGAGAAGTGCTGTGGTCTGAATGTTTGTCCACCCCAAATTCGCATGTTAAGACCCAGTCACATTGTGATGGTAGTAGGAGATGTTGAGGATGTGAGGTGTGATTAGGTCACTGGGACCTAGCCATGGACCACCGTGATCTTGGATTTCTAGCCTCTTCTGTGACAAATAAATGTACATTGTTCAGAATCTTCCTACTTAACGATATTTCGTTATAGCAGCCCAAATGGACTAAAAACAAGGTGTCATTCAAAATAAATCTTTAGAAAGGCCAATGGAAGCCAGTTTTGGCAAGGAATTGAATAACAGGTTTTTAGTTTAAGATTGATCTTTATTCTAATTGATTTCTTAATTAACTTTCTAGTCTCCAGTCTGATCTATATTCCTTGAGACTAAATTGTGTTTAAATTTGCTTCCAACAAGTTATAGCTATACCTAACACCTCGAAGGCTGTTTATAATCCAGGAATGAAGACTTTGTTTATTATGAACACAAAGGAGGAGAAAGAAACCAGAGAAATGTGAAAAAAAGAAATAAATTGATTACACTCAATACCTTGAATTTTACTAAATTTGAAAAGAAAGGAAGAGGAGGACAGGAAGGGAAAGGAAAAGCAGGGGGATCATGAACTGAAGTCGAATTTTAGGTCACTGGGATGTTTGACAAATTTAGGTTACATGCATGTTTGATGAATTTGTTGGGATGAACCCAATTACTATGAATAACTATAAAGCTCTAAGTTTTAAAAATGCACAAAAAAAAAACAAGAAAGGAAGAAAGGTGAATAACAGAAGGTTATTTTGCAAATTGAGGAGATAAAGCCCAAAGAGATATGACTTACCAGAGCTCCAGAATTAATTGGTTAGTAGGAGAACAAGGGTAAAAGAAACCAGATATTCATTCACTTTCATGTCAGAGTAACAAAAATGACTGTGGAAATTAAGGAGTCAACTAAAAAAGGAGATTTCCATCAGAAAATTTGATTGGGTGATGGTGACAAATTTTGTACATATAACTTTGGTGTCAAGAATACCATACTCAATGTTTATACTTATAATTCCTCCGAGGTAGGAAGCATGCCTTACTTGATTTGATAATTTTCTCACTGCCTAATTAAGTCCTTAATAGTTTTTTAAATTATCTGTTAAATTAAAACTATGAATTTGAGAAGATGAGAGAGGAAAGGGAGAAGAATAGCACCTGAGTTCTATTCATCTCAACCTAATTGACATGATTAGGTATAGCCAATCTATGGGAAGAACCAGGAATGAGAAAAGTCTGTTGGACTCTAAGATAGGCAACATAATAAAAAGAGTACTTGGTTAGAAATTAGGAAATTTGAGTTGTAGTCTCAGCTGTGATCTTAAGTAAATTCTTTTTTCTGCATTCCTCTTTGTCTAAAAGATGTGGATATTGGATTAAATAATATTTTGCAACCTTCTAACTTCCAATGTCTAGAGTTCAAGGATTGGTGACCTTCATAGTACAGGATTTATTTGGTGATCTTTCTCTATTTCACAGAAGAATAGAAGTGGTTTAGAGATTTTCTAATGCTCTCCTTCTAGAAACAAGCAATGGCAGTACCTTAATCCACTCTGTGTCCTCTGCATACCTCAGCATGCTTGAAATTCAGTATTTGTTCTCAGTTTGGGTCAGATTGTCTCTATAGAGCTTGCTAGCTTTGTTTCTTAAACTACTGCCTTTCTTAGTAGCTTTGTCCTTGTATTGGACAATTGCTGTAACTGTCTTGGATTAAAAGTATGCACTATTAATTTGGTTTCACACACTCTTGAACTGGACACGCTCTAACTCTGAAATCCTATCAGTCTGGTCTGCTGGCTTCATTGTTGTGAGCTGAAATGTCCCAAACACTCTGAATGCCTTCCAAAAATAGTAGACAAAATGTTTGTTGACCTTGGTTCCCTCCCCTTGCAATTATCTATTTGAGGGACAATGGCAATATACACGTTTGATCCCTTCAGCATTTTAATACCAGGCTTAACCATCTAAAATTGCTGCATTCCTACACTAGGCTTACCCATGTAAAATTAAACCCAACTTCAGTTTGGTATTGCACAACAGTAGCCATCAATAATAGCTTCCTTACCATTGATCAACACAGCTTTCTCACATATCACCTGCTAGATGTTCACGTATACTCTGCCTTTTCTTTTCATTTTTTTACATTCTAATAATTTCTACCTCTCTGCTATTGCAGAAGTTTTTGCGTATAAATTGCCTATAGATTTTTTTATATATGATGTCAGAGCACCAGACTAAAGTCAATTGCTTTTTTGCAAATGTTGCTTTAGTCATTTAATTCAGGTGTGTTTCCCAGAAAATATGGGAAACACACCTGAATTAGCAACCAAAAGTGATTAGCCCAAGACTCAACCAAGATGAAATATATAACTGAATAGTTTATAACTATTAGAGAAATTGAATCTGTAATTTAAAAACTCCCAAAAAGAAATCTCCATATCAAGATAATCTAAGAGACTTCTGCCAAACACTTTAAAAACTATTTTACACAGTCTTTTTCAAGAAATAGAAATGAGAGGGGCTAGGGTTATATCTCAGTGGTAGAGCATTTGCCTAGTATGTGTGAGGCCATGGGTTTAATCCAAATCACCAAAACAAAAAAACAAAAAACAAACCCCCCCAAAAGCAAACGAGCAACAACAATAGTAAAAGACTACAGACTAATGTCTCACAAACATAGGCTCAGAAGTTCTTAACAAATTATTGGTAGTTGACTTCAACAATGTATGAAATGAATTATATAACATTAGCAAGTATAATTTATTAAGGATTACAAAGCTACTTCAATGTAACCTACCACATCCACAGGTAAATAAGAAAAATCACATAAAGTAAAAACATTTGATACCCATTTATGATAGAAATCTCAAAAAGTTAGAATAGAGAAGCATCACCTCAACTTGGTAAGAGCATCTACAAAAATCTTACAGCTAATGTCATATGTAATGATGAAAGACTGAATGTTGTCCCCTAAGATCAGGAACAATGAAAGAATATTCACTTTTAACACACTTATTCAACATAGGCTGGAAATACTAGCCATTGCAATAAAGTAAGAATAATAACTAAAAGTCATGCATATGGAATGGAAGAAATAAAACTATCCCTATATGAAAATGATATGATTATCTACATATAATTTTCCAAAGAATTTATAATCTCTTCTGAAAAAAAAAATCAAAGGGAATCCTTTTTAACTCATTCATTGAGGTCCATATTACCTAAATTCTGAAAAAAAACCAGATATAAATACATTTGAAAAGAAGAAAACTATAGATTAGTATCTATTATGAACAGAGATGCAAAAATTTTCAACAAATTATTAGCAAGTCAAATCTAATAATATACCAAAAGAATTTTATACCATAATCAAGTGGGATTTATTGAATATATGCAAAATTATTCAACACTCAAAAATCAATCAAAGTAATTCATTGTGTCAATAGACTAAGGAAGAAAAATCATATGGTTGTATCAATAGATGCAAAGATAAAATTCAGTATGCATTTGTGATAAATACTGTGAATAGAAGGAGATTTTCCTAATTTGATAAAGAATATCTACAAGTCATCTACAGCTAACAACATCCTTAATGGCAAAAATCTAGAGATTTCCCTTTAAG